ATGAAAAATAAAAATTGAAACAAAGTACTCCAGGCCTGCATTCCTGAATGAAAATAGTTAGCCAGAGACTAGTCTTGGTGAATCCTGGATAGTACCTGCACACCTGATCCCCACCAATATATCCCAGCCACCAAGGTCAAGGAAAATTCCATTTATCATTACACTTACCCTGGCTTTTTTCTATACTCAGTCAGCTTTACTCCTGAATGGTATTTAATGCTACTCACTAACCGTGAGTAGAGTTGAGCTTGGACCCCTGGCTTTGGCTTGTTCAAGTCCTTTGCACCTCCAGGTCACTGGATATCTTTAATTTATACATTCAACCCCACATAGTCTCTGAGCCAATGAGAACTAAGGCCCCAAAGTATTTGCTCAGAGTAGAGAAGCTGCTATCCCAGAAAACCTGAAGTATTCTGATAAAGCAGCACTTTGATTCCAATTCCCACCCTTGTTCCCAGGCCATGAATCCTAGTGTTGAGTCCTTGTCACTGATCTTATAGTTCTCCTAGAAATCCACTTGGCTACTGACCAACAATGCCACCCTCCCACTCCTGGCTATTAACAACCTCTCACATAGGGACCAAACCCTGTCATGCTGAGATCAAGGGATCCTTCTTGGATTCTTTAGATCAACAATTTCCATTATGATAGCCACTTAGCAATATGTGGCAATTGAACAATTGAAATGTCACTAGTCCAAACAGAGATGTGCTATAAATATAAAATACACATGGAGTTTCAGACTTAGACTGAAATAAAGCATATAAATTATTGTATTTGTAATTTTATATTAATTATGTACTGAAATAACAATTGTTTTTGATAGACTAAACAAAACATTGTTAAAATTAATTTCAACTATTTCCTTTTACTTTTTTAATGTGGCTACTAGAAAATTTAAAGTTACATACATGGCTCATATTGTAGTCCTACTGGACACCACAAAGACATCCACTACTATGCTTTGGATCTTCAATGCCTCCCAAAAGCTCCCAGTCAATGGTGGGGAGATGATGGAAACTTGGGGCAAGTAGGTCATTGGGGATGTATCCCTGAAGAATATACTGAGACCTGAACCTTTCCCCTCTCTCTATGCTTCCCTGATGCCATGAGGTAAGTATTTTTGCTCTATATTATGCCTCCACCATGATTAGCTCCTCATCATGGGTCCAAAATAAATGGGCCAACAAACTATAGTCTGAAACTATGAAATAAAATAAATCTTTCTTCTAAATTATTTATCTCAGATATTGTATTACAGTGACATAAAACTAACACAACCACTCTCCAAAAAATTCTATATCTCCCTATACTCACTCCACTGGCCTGTGACAAGCAAGGCTTATAGCCAACATCTATTCTACTATCTGAAAAGCAGACTATTCCATCTGATCTCTTTAGGTGACTAAATTTCTGTTGAATGACTCTCCTATAATACATGCTATTCTTCTCATTTCTAATTAAATTTGCAAAACTCCTGTAGTCCCGTAAGTGAATGAGTAGAAGGGTGTACCGGCATACCTGTATGGTGAATGCGTACTTGTACATAGAAAGTCATAAGGAAAGAATAATGTGGAAGTATGTTTTTCCCAGTGAAAAAAGAAGGTAACCCTGGTAGGTAGGTAGGTAAGTAGGTAGGTAAGTAAGTCAGTAAGAGTCAGATACCTAAGGTGGGGATGGGGGTGCTCTCCCTCTACCAAGAAAATCTGGAAATGAATTCCTCTCTCCCATCCACCATCAATAATAAAGGGTGCCAACCAGAAGCAATTAGGCCAACCCTGCAGTCAAGAGAGTCTAGAATCAGAGACACTGAAGAGGAGCATGAATTCCTTAGAAAAACCTAGGTGTCTGTTTTCAAAGCAAAATAGTCCAGTGTAAGGGGCACAAGTATGGAGGCCCTCAAGTAGGGTTTGGCACTGTCCATTTAAACCAATCTGAATCACAAAAAAAAAAAATTCAATGATCTGAACATTGAAGCAATTATTACACTAATGCAATAGATTTTGGTAAATGAAGTATTGCTATCAATGTCTGCTGATCTGGCCTGCTCCCATGAATCACCGGGTTTGTGCTTTTGGTAGTAACCCTTTACAAACACATGAAAGAGGAGAAAGCCTTGTTACTCAAAGTGTGGTCCCTGGAACGACAGCAGCAGCAGCATCTGGTAGCTGGTTAACCAAATTCTTGGGCCATACTCTAAACCCAAGTTTAAAAGACCCTTGTTAAAATGCAATGAGATTTTGTACTTTTAACAAGAAGATCCTGTGATCCGTGTACATATTAAAGTTTAAAAAGTACCTAAAGTTTAACCTTCTGACCATATTCATTTGCTTAACAAACTTTTTTGATAAATAAATAATGGCAGCCTTTCCTCTGAGTTAAGGTCTCTGGAATTTGCCCCACTGGGGACTTTCTGTTTGTCTTTTTCTTTGGACTGTAGCTAATAATACAGAATGCTTTTCAAATAAATCAGTGGTTCCAGGTGGTTCTTGGATGGGAGCCCTGTAACAAGGCTATAAAAAGCCAGATCTTTCTCTTATAAGTTTCCAACTTAAGTATTCCCTGAAGCAAATAGCTTTGGCATAAGGGAGGCAAATAATTTTATGTAAAAGAGATGAATATCTGCATACATAACATAGTGCCCCCCATGTACATCAAAATAAGGGAAATAATTGCCAAAATCAACTTCATTTTAGAATGCTAATGACATATGAAAATGGGTCTTTATCACCCAAACTGAGAAAACAAATTTAATCCACATACTTTTCATATTACTTAAAATTTTTACACTGCCAAAAAATCTTCATATATATATACATATATATCCATTATCCCTTAATTATTTTTATATCCTTCCCAGAACTTATAAAGTTATCACTGTGATAATCTGATAAGTTTTCCACTCATTTACTCCAACCAAGGAGCAAAAGAAAACACATAAGGAGAATATTGAATATTTTAAAATAAGACATTAATTCCTCAGTGGAATTATTGGCAAGAGGACTTTCTATTTCAAATATAAAGTCTCAAACTTCACAAAAATTCTCTAAAGTATCCAAAGACAACAAAAACAAATTAATGTAGGAAAATGTAATTAGACTTATGGTATTCCAAAGCAAACTTCAGCACAGAATACATAGCTATGTGTTATGTATCCATACATATTCCAACATTTTGGTATTAATGTTTATCACTACATAATATAAACCATTTGAACAATCATGACTAAATAGACTTTATGTCTTTACCCTTAAATTAAAGATGCTTATATATTTGTATCTGACTGATTACATGGACTTTTTTCAGTAATGGAAGTTCAACCCAGATTCTCAAATACAATAGGCAAGCACTCTACCACTATACCCCGGACTCCCTGCCCCCCCCCTTCTTCCATTCCCCTTTTTTGAGACAGGATCTTGCTAAGCTGCTGAAGCTAGCCTCAAACTTGCTGCACTCCTGCCTCAGCATCCCTAATGGCTGGGATTATAAGTGTGGGCTACCATAGCCAACAATTATGTGGATTTCTGTTAGTTAATCATACCTAGATGTTTTGCTTCCTGATATCTGTAAAACACAATTCATCACAATGCACACAAAAACCTGGCTCAATTCAAATTGAAAATTCAAAAATGCCCTCATAATAGCAAAAAATAATAATAATCTAATTTAAAAATGGGCAAAATACCTGAATAGATATTTTCCCAAAGATATACAGATTACCAGAAGGTGTATGAAAATGCATTCAACATCACTAATCACCAGAGAAATGCAAATCAAAAGTACAATGAGATCACCTTTCATCTGTTAGTATGGCTCTTGTCAAGAGATACAAGAATGTGGAAAAAGGAAACCTTTGTACACAGTGGGAATATAGATTGGTATAACCATCATGAAAAGCATATGAGAAATCCTAAAAAGAAAAAAGAAAGAAAAAAAAAAGGATTCATGTACAACCCAGTCATTCCAAGGGAAACAAAATTAGTATCTTGAAAAGATACCTGCACTCCCATTTTCCTAGTGGCACTATTCCTAATAGCCAAGACATAGAATCCACCTAAATGTCCATCAATGGATGAATGAATAAAGAAACACAGATAAAGTGGAATATTAATCAGCCACAAAATACAAGGAAATTCTGCCTTCTGCAACATCGTAGATAAACCTGGAGGACATCACACTAAGTGAAACAAGCCAGATACAGAAACACAAGTACAATATAATCTCATTTACATATGGAATCTTTAAAAAATGTTGAATTCATAGAAGCAGAGAATAGAACAGTAATTGTCAGGGACTAAGAGTGGAATAATGGGAAGATGCTGGTCAAAGAATACAAACTTTCAGTTATAAGAGGAATAAGTCTTGGAGATCTAATGTTCAGCATGGTATTTATAGTTAAAAATAATGTATTGTATAATTAAAATTTGCTAAGAGAGTAGACCTTAAATTTCCTCACCACACACAAACACAAAATGACATGGTGATGGATGTGTTGATTTGATTGACACATTTCACAAGATATTAGTATATCAAATCATCATACTATATACCTTGAGTATATATAATTTTGATATGTTAAATGTACCTCAATAAAGCTGGAAGAAAAAAATACACCTTCTCTTCCAATGCAGCTGAAACAGATGGAGAAAAACTACATTGCCATGGTGACAAATCTCTCTTTAAATTTGTGACCTGGAATCTCCCCTAGACCTAGACCCTGACTATTTCCAAGTAGCCATACTATATTTCTTCAGTTAAGTCACTCTCCCACTCCTCTGGACAACTAATTAGCACCTTCTCCTCTTTCTTCCAACCTTCAATATCTGCTTACCCATCTTACTCTCATTTGATCTTTCCTCATGTTTCACTGAGAAATGGAAAGAATCCAAAGAGAACACCTACAGATCTCTACCTGGAAGACTGGCAGTGGCCTGCTGATTATATCCTTATTACATCTGGCTAAATTGCCACTGTTTTACCAGCTGAGGAGCTCCACTTACCATCTCCTTCTTATCTTCCTGGAAGTGCACATCCACAAACATTTTTCCAACAACATAAGGAAGGGCACTTTCAATAAAGTTTACACATTTGTCCCATTGAGGCAGCAAAGTTGTGGTCCCCTGGATCACCTGTGGGAGATAATCAATCCAGTTTAATCTTCATTGGATAAAAACTATTTCTAAAAAAATCAACCAGCTGAAGAAAACAATTTTTAAAACATTACACACCCAAGCCCATATACATGTAAGATAGTAGAAGCAAAGGCAAACTCAGATGAAGAAAAATAATTCTGCTTGTTCCTGTTTTTTTTAGAATTAAATAAAAATGTTTTGATAATGAAATATAATGTAACTTGTCTTTTCTCCCACTTTTCTTCATTAAGCAAAGGATCTAAACAATGGTACAACTTTTCTTTAGTCAGTAGGGATCCAAAGGGATGTTCAAGTGTTCAGATAGTACTTAATATCTATTAAGATTTGAAGTTCCATCAGAAAAGGTCTAGATCAAAGTTCCTGCCAGTGAGAGTTTCCTTGCTCTGGGGAATATAACTAAAAATATACTAACAGTAGGATAACATGACCCACCATGAACAACCCAGGGAGCATATTTACATTGTGTCATAGCAGAGAACACACTGGTAAACAAATAAAATACAGATGTAAATGCTTCTCCCTTCAGTCTCAATTATACCATCATAAGAAAACATTTACAAACAAGTAAGGAACTTCGAAAGCAGGACTTGGAGGGCTTAAAGGTTTATTCTTGGGAATAAAGGCAGAGAAATAAATATAGTTTAAGTTGTCCCTGGAGGTTGGGCATGCAGGAAGGCAGTGGAGGGGGGAAGGGAGGCTTTGAGAATGGTGAATGGTGGCCAGAATCATTCCTTGTACAAAGTAAGAACCAGGTTGTTGAAGCAGGGAAAAGAGATTAATGCTTCAGTTCATCTGTTCTTCCTCTGCTTCTGGTAACATGACCCCTCTCAGAGGTAAGGTATGAATCTATTTTTAAAACCTCTAGAGAAAGAGTTCCTACAACCTTCTTTGGCAATTCAAAATTATATTTAGCACTTCACACTCAAGAAACATCCCCTCATACCTAACCTCAAATTTTCACACACTACTTTCTCTTTCTCTCTCTCTCTCTCCCTCCCTCCCTCCCTCTCTCATTCTCTTCACAGTGGAGGTGGAAAGCAGCTGGTTATCATCTTTTATGTGATCCATAAGACTTAAAAATACACTCACATCAAAAAAAATTCTACTTGTTTTGGGGCTGGATTGTGGCTCAGCGGTAGAGCTGAGTTCGATCCTCAGCACCACATAAAAATAAATAAAATAAAGGTATTGTGTCCAACTACAACTAAAAAATAAATATTTTTAAAAATCTACTTGTTTTGGATCTGAACCATTTGATGTAACATAAATAAATAAATAAATATATATATATATATATATATATATATATATATATATATATATATATATATTTGTTTTATGCTATACTCTACAAAATGACTTTGTATTCTAGTCATTTTAAAGGGTCAAAATGTACCTACAGTGGCCCACTAAGAATTTCTATGCTCACTAGTTTCTCTAATAAACAAAATGTCTGTTAAATGAAATCAGAGCTTATAAAATTTGCTTTCACTTAGCTTTGAACTGATAGAAAAATAAAATATTTTTAGAAGTCACAAAATCTTTAAGTCCTCTAGTGGTGGCAGAATACTCATAAATAAACCTCAGAAACAGACCATAAAAACATCTGTGTAATTAGGAGGCATCGGGGATGGTCAAGAAGCAAAGACTCAAAATTCAGGTGAGTGGGGAGAGGGAAATCAATTCAGGCACTTGAGCAAGGTCTCAAAGGACACGGAAAAAAAAAAATATGGAGTGGGCCTCATGGAGTGGGCCTAGCAGAATTAGGATAGATTCAAGATTAAAGATCTAAGTCAAGTTAAAGACAAAAACTCTGTCACTAAATTAAAAATGAAACTTTACCATCTAATGCCTATGTCATACATATGTGAATATTCAGGATACTAAAAATAAAAGACAGTTATAGTGCAATCAATCACAATGAAACTCCATACCCTCCAATCAGTATCTCCACTTTCATCAGTCCTCCCTATCCCCATAAACATACACATTATATGTCAGTGAAAAATTAAATAAAAACTACTTTTAAAAGATAGTTTCAAACATATCACTAAAAAATGTTAAAACTATAATTATAGTGACACAGTTAAAAACCCTGGGGAAAAATGGAAATAAGTTAATAAGAGGGGAGAGTTGAAAAACAATGTGACCACGGCCGTAAGTATTACCTTAAATATCTTTATATAGCCCCATCAAATTAGAGCTTGAATGTACTCTTACTGTATTTAAATTGTACCTGAACAAAAAGAAATCAAGCAAGAAAAGACCTTGGGCTGCAAAACTTCCTCCTATCCCATCCCTAAAGGCAGTTTTTATTGAACCAGTTAATATACAGACTGTTCTGGCATGTAAAGTTATCCAGTGCTATAACATTACAATCTTCTTAAACGTACCCGTGAGAATTCCAGCCATCTATATTGAAAGCGCCTGCTCAGGTTTGGAATTCTGGAATAAACCATTCTCCACACCAAATAGTTGGCAATGGTCCTGTTAACATAGAGAAATGCACATTTATTGTATTTTAGGTCGATATCTGATCCTCTGCAGAACACCTTCAGAAAAACTGTTGGCAAAGCTCCACGGAGAGACCGCCTGTTCATATAAAAATGCAACACTTTCACTTGAGAAATGTCATAAAATGATACAATGTCAATAAGCACAACCAAAATTGGCTTGCCTTTCACCACCTACTTACTACAGAGATAAAATGAATATTTCAACCCCAGGTCTGAAAAGTGAACACTTTGCTTTCTTTCTGGCAGAGTCCACTATTGCCTTATCTCCCATACCTGGAAACTGTAAATACCTTCAAATTATAGGTGACTTGATGTAATGCATATGTATTATTTGCCTTCAGAAATTAACAGCAAAATACTGACCGATACCTATTGTCTAAATTTGAACTTATTAAATATGTGAACTCAGGGAAGTCACTGAAGCTCTTTGATTTCTCTTTCCTTACAATACATGAAGGATGTTCCCTGCCTCACAGGGTTATTGTGAGGTTAATATAAGTAACAAAATGTTTGACAAAGAGTAAATACCTAAGGTACTTCAAAACAAGAACATTCCCATATGCTCTTGCAATGCCCATGATACCTACTTTCAAAAATCTGCTACATTTAAGTGGTGCCTTTTTCTACAAGCAAAAGATGTCCTGAGCTCAGAAGGACACATGATCTGAGTTAATTTCTAATTCAATAGTGATGATGGATTTTTGATGACCCACCTTACTCCCAGCTGTGCCATTACCATGGTGACTAATAACACACATTCCTAAGATGGCCCTTGGGTCAACCAGAAACGTGACATTAGTGTGACATGATGATGCTAATTGGCTCATCAAAAACAACCTACTCTCTCATTATTTGCATGACTCTCTAATGTAGTGGCTGTGCACTCCTGACAGCAAAATATTTTTCAGCATATTCAACAATATGTGGATGCTTGTTTTAATTTCTATATAGGTACAGGCTAAAATATTAGGAATCTTTAAATAAATACAGAACTTTTAAGAGATAATATAAAAATATTTTCAAAAAGTCATAAATTAACCCTTCAAATATTATGCTTATTATTTAAAACATATTATCCTCATAGAATTGGGCTAATACAATGACAGTGCATGTAAATCCATATTTCTTATAGTCTTTTTGACTTTTTCAAAAATTTTGAGATACCCTTTTCATATCTGGTTAGACCACTATTGTTTTCCCTTATCATCTGGCTAACCAAGATGGCATACTAGTGTGAGAGAAGGGTCACTTCTGCCATTTTATTTCCATTCCATGCTTATGCTTATGTTACTAGTAGTAGCTTCAGTTCATGTTTCTCTGCAAAAAATATTTTAAACTACTGGTCCTTGTTGTGATGCTTAAACTAAACTACATTAAAAAATTCACAAATCTGTAGGTATATGCAAGTGTCTCATGATTATTTTCAATATGTCAAATGCAGTCACAAACCAGTGACTGTAATAGTGCCTCTGCCATGCATGTCATCAAGACCAAATGAAGGGTCTATGGCCACATACATAGTAGAACTTAATAAAACCTAATAATTATTTTAAAATTTAAAAATAAAGATAGAAGTTCCAACATTTTCTTCTTGGACCCAAGGGATCTCCTTGGGCTATGAATATCCCCCCTTAGAGGCCACTACCCAAATCAGTAAAGTCAAGCCCCTCACCCATGCTTTGTTCAGACCATTATGATAAACACCCCATTTTAGGTCATTGCTTCAGATCTTTTGCATATACATCTATCTTTATGACTGAACAAGACAAAAAGTGCTCACTGAGCACTTACTCTTGGCCCAGTGTTGTGCCAGGTACCATGAGGAATGTTGAAAAACAGGAACCTAGCACCTAAGTCAAAGAACTTAAGATTTCTGTTTGTTCATATCATTGGGTTTTTAATTGAAGGGACACACTATAAGTACATAAAGGAGCCTTCTTTTTTTTTAGAGAGAGAGAATTTTAATATTTATTTTTTTAGTTTTCGGCAGACACAACATCTTTGTTTGTATGTGGTGCTGAGGATCGAACCCGGGCCGCACACATGCCAGGCGAGCGCACTACCGCTTGAGCCACATCCCCAGCCCCTAAAGGAGCCTTCTTTCCCTGACTCAAACAACATACCCTGAGTACCCAGATATGTACTAATAGTTCTAGATGCTGGGGAGATAGAGAGGTAAGAAATATATAGGCCTTGATCTTCTGAAGCTTTTAGTTGAGCAGAGGAGTTGGGGGAGTGAATAAATAAATATTTGGCAGGTCTTCGCACCCCAAAGTGGGTGCCAGACATTCCCTAGAAGTATAGCATATCTCATACTGAAGGATAAATGTAGACTTCATGAGAGGGACAGGGCTTAAACTATATCTGAAGGTTGGAAGGCTAAATAATGGGAGACTAGGCCATGCATTGGAGGCAATGGTGAGCAGGATCATCAGTAAAGGAAGTAAGCAAAAAGAGAAGCCACACTGGGAAGATGCAGGACAGCAACTGGGGCCTGGAATCTCTAGTGCATCAATGGGGCAGCTTCTGACCCTAGTGCAATGGCTATATTTTCTTTGTCTTTCAAATATTGTTTGCTGAGTGTGTGAGCTGTGCTGGATCAACAGGGGCAGATTAGAAGATCACTGGCTGGCAGATGTCTCTCCACAAAGTCAAAAGATATTCCCTAGAGGGGGTGGTGATGAGTCAGATCAAATGGGGAAGTTGTGAGGATGGAGTGTGACAGTGGTAGTAAAAGAGTCAGTATGTCAGAAGTAGACTGGGGTTTTAGAAGTAGGGGCCATTCCAGCTCACCTGAAATCATCCCACATAGGCATCTCACATTATTGATGATTCTCACAGCACCACTAATAGGAGAGAAGTTACTATATCCATTTTACATATAAGAAACATGAGGCTTAGAAGCATTAAGTAAACTCATCACACAGTTGGTGGGTCTCAAACTAGTAGAATCACCTGGGGAGTTTTTAAAAGTCCAGATGTCCAGGCCACTCCAAGCCAATTCAATCACAATCTCTTGGGTAAAGCCTAGCGTGAATATTATTTTCAAATTCCTCCTTCAAATCAATGTGAAGCCAAGTCGTAGAAGCAGTGTAATAAGCAATGGAGGCTAGACAAGAGCCAGGTGTTTCTAGATGTAAAGCCTGTATGTTTTTCTCTACACCACACAGTGAATGAAAGCCCTGGAATTTGGATAAGATTTCCTGTCCAGTCAGAGACAACAAAACACTCCAACAAAGATACTTTGCAGAAATCTGTGGGCACAAAAAGATAATAGTTAGGCCGTCCAGGCCAATGCATTCCTAAGAGGATAGCATAACAATGAGACTTCTGAGAGTGGAAGATGGAATGCTGGGAAGCTCACACAGCCAGCCAATGGTACTACCAAGTGGTTCCACTATGATATAAATATGCTGACAGAATGCTATGGAGCATAGTTTAGCAGTGCTAATATCACCACATCAGGAACAGATATGACCATAATGAGCAAATCACTGCCACCTAATGCTCAGATACATCAAAAACAAAAACAAAACAAAAATTAGATCAGCAACAGTCCTTGAAAATAACACATATTATCTTTTTTTTCCCAAAAAGCTTTTTCAGCAGTACAGTAATTTCCCCAAATGGCAATAAATAAAGGAAAGGAAAGCATCCCAGAAGAGAATCCACCACTAAGAAAGCAATATGAAATCCTTCCCCAAATCCTCTGACTTGGAAGATTTGTTCTTTAAGAAGCTTTTGCTGCTCCATGGTCTGAATTAGCAGCAGCTTACATTTACATTACATTTAAGAGCTTATAAAAATACCTCCTTTGATCCTGATGACAGTGCCATGGGGTGGTTATTATAATTAGCTTCATTTTCATATAAAGAAAATAAAGGTCAGAGGTCAAGGGACTTCCAAGAACATGTCCAATCTGGGACTAACATTTAGGTCTTCAGATTACAGTTTGCATTTATTTCTCCCTGTCATGCTACCTGAAGTGAATCAGAGGTTCTTCTCAAACATTCTCAAATCTCAGAAATCTTCCTAAATCCTACAGGTTGCCCAGATGCATGCCTAGAGCCATACTTCTCAAAGCATGTCCCAGTATTGGAAGTTTCAGCATCACCTGAGAACCTGGTAGAAAACTGGCCTTGTCCCATTCCAGACATACTAAATCAGAAAATGCAGGGATGGGGCCCAGCAGTTTGTGTTTTAGCAAGCCCTCCAAGGTATTCTGATACATGTCAAGGTTGAGAACTTTTGGTGAAGAAAAACCCCATCTTTTCATCTTTCTGCATATATGGCTCACTGAGGCAGTCCTAAATCCTAGGTCAGTGCTTCTTAAACTTTAATATGTACATAAATCTCCTGGCAGGGGCTGGAGATATATCTCAGTTGGTAGAGTGCTTGCCTTGCATGCACAAGGAGCTGGGTTCTAATCTCCAGCACCACAAAAAAATCTCTTGGGGACCTTATTGAATTGCAGATTCTGATTCAGTTAGGTCAAGGACATAGACTTGAGATTCTGCATTTCTGACAAGTTGTCAGGTAATGCCCAGACTGCTCATGTGTGGACTATACTTTGAAAAGCAAGGCCATAGACCACCTCAGAAGAGATGATCCTCATGAGAGGTTCACATTACTATACATTTTCCAGGTGAGCCTTTGGGAGCATCTGTTTAACAAGAATCATCTGACTTTAATGTACACTGTGCTGCTCTATAAAATAAAACTAAAGACAGGAAAGCTCACAGGGGCTTGGCAAACTCCCAAGGATTTGCTTGAGACAAGTCTGCTAAAAGAGTTCTAAGGCAGGGGCTGGGGATGTGGCTCAAGCGGTGGCGCGCTCGCCTGGCATGCGTGCGGCCCGGGTTCGATCCTCAGCACCACATACAAACAAAGATGTTGTGTCTGCCGAGAACTAAAAAAAAATAAATAAATAAATATTAAAATTCTCTTTCTCTCTCTCTCTCTCTCCTCTCT